CAGGTTTATAAGAACTACCAGGTCAGATAGCTTTTGGGGCTGACCTGTTTCATCGTACAATATCTGTCATAGTTATAATACAATTATCTATACAGTAGTTAAATGACTTGGATCCCTGTTTCATCCAGGAGTTTTTGCCTACAACCAACATTATCGTGGATTCAAGTCAGTAAAAGTCTCCATCATTTCCGATGCATGAGCACATTGGTCTGAGCCACCCTCTTTGATTCCACAATCTACAGAATCATTCAAGAAACGAGGCGGGGTTGGTAAAGGCAGAGCAATTGACTCCCCATTAAGCGCAGCAACAATTGATGCCATTCGCGGTCTCTTAGCTGCATCTTCTTGGACACATAACAAACCAATGTGGATGCACTTGGCCAATTCTTCAACAGGAAAATCATTGCCAAAAGTTGGATCAGTCAACTTCATTGGGACCCCTTCATTCCACAGACTCCAAGCCTGCACTATGATTTGGTTTACATGTTGTAGCAAGATGATTTTTTCAATTTAAACAGTTCAAAACTCAAACTTTACCCGATATAGAAGTGACTCGTCAATTTGCTGTTTATGCGAAAACCTGTTCCTTAGACCACTCACAAGCTCCAATACTATGATTCCAAAGCCATATACATCAGATTTAACAGAGAAGTGTCCTGTAATCAAATATTCTGGAGCCATGTACCCACTGCAAAATTTCAATAGATACATAAGGTTTAAGTTATCAAGATTGACAAGCAACATTAACTAAAATTTTCATAAAACAATGCTTGCATAACAAAGGACATTAAGGAAGTGTAATATACACATACTTACAATGTTCCAACAATTCGGTCAGTGTTATCTTGAGTTTGATCTACCCCAAAAAGCTTTGCCATGCCAAAATCTGCTATCTTAGGATTCATAGCTTCATCCAACAGTATATTACTAGGTTTGAGGTCTCGATGCACAATTTTGAGTCGAGAATCTTCATGGAGGTAAAGAAGCCCTTTTGCAATTCCTTCAATGATTGTAAATCTTGTTTTCCAGCTTAATGATTCCCGTTTTTTTGGATCTGGATACAATGTATACAATTAGCAGCCTATGTATTTAGAATTAAGCAAAAGCAACATTTAAGTGTCATGAAACTGCTGCAGTTACCTACCTGATAGAAATCGGTCAAGACTCATATTAGGCAAAAACTCATAGACAAGTATCTTTTCCTTTCCTGACAGGCAAAAGCCCAAGAGTTTGACCAAATTCCGGTGTTGAAGCTTTGCAACTAGAACAACTTCAGTTTTAAATTCACCAATGCCTTGTTTAGAGCTACTTGACAGCCTCTTTATAGCTATACATAGTCCATCTTCAAGTTGTCCCTGCAAACAATGTAGCATGTCTGATTATGATTAATTACAGCACAGAAGCAATGTGACCTTGCTTACAAATCACTTCCAGCAACTTTACCTTGTAAACCTCACCAAATCCACCCTCTCCTAGTTTTTTATCAGCTGAAAAATTATTGGTTGCCTTCCGTATTGTGGAGAAGTCGAACTTCAAGGACTCAACAGCTTCAATTTCATCCGTTTCTTCTACAGACGCTCCAAAATATTTCGCTGTTAGTTTTTCTGAAAAGATTTAAGAAATGTTGTTGCCCATTCAACTATGATATCCACCACTCCACTGTATAACATGGGAAAGAACTATTCTAATCTACAATGTTCCAAAGAGCCCATACAATTTTGCAAGTACACTCTAAACTTATAGTTTGTAGGTGCAAATTACGATACTATTTCCAGATTGGCTGTCGAACAAGAGCCAGTGACTAAAATAAAGGGTTGGAACTAAATAAAGGAAATGAAAAGGTCCTGTTGTGCTCTTACCTCCAATTGGTTTCTTAGATTTTCTCTTGAACATCATAATCCAAGCCCCAAGTAGGATCACCAATGCCAAAATAGCTGAAATGCTGATGCCAAGGATTAGTAACGTTCTTTTCCGCCTTGACACGGATGAAGCTTTTTTAGAGGTTCCTGTTTGACATAAATTACACAGCATTATTCAATTTACTGGTCGACAGTGAATTAGGCACCAGATTTAGCCATGGATATAAAGGGCTCTAGGTCCATGGTGGATATACTACAATCTTTAGTCTTTAGAATATAGGTACTAGTAAATAAATAAATAAAAATTCCAGGTCTTAATTGGATTTGTTACACATACATATATATGCATCTTAGATTCACTCAAATCTCAATTACAGCCAATCTGGCATGGGGCAAGCGGCAAACAATTAAATATATACTGTAGCTTAACTGCCTCAACTAATGCAACCTTATTGAGGTTATCTTACCTCCAGAAAAGGGAACATGCGGAAGTCCTGAAGCAGGTGTGAGGGCATCTCCATAAAAAGCATATATGTCGTACCTCATATTACAACTGGGATTCATCATAGTACAACCTGCCTTCATGTTGCACATCTCTGTCATATTGCCAATGGTCATCTGGAGACAAGTGTTGCAGTCGTTCACAGATATATCTGGGGTACATTCAGCAAGTGTGTAAAGCAAGTTCATGCTTGTCAAATTAGACACAAATTTCCCTTCTTTCGTTGAAAATGTTTTGCCGGATGGACTTGTTGCTGCTTGGGATGAAACTTCTCCCAATGTATCTAGCACAACTTGGGTAAACTCGGTTTGGTTGCTTGTAATGTTTTGTATGTCGACAGCATTCTGTCTGTTCCACATTGGTATCATAGGAGCATCATTCATGGTACCAAAGAAAGAATCATTAGAGTATCGTATCATACATTGATCATACCATACTACAGACTGTTTCTTTCCAAGGCAATGAGAATTTAACGAGTTATTGGCCAAGGAGAAGCACTCCTGGCAGAAAGAGACTGTTTGATCAATACGGCAGAAAAAGACACCATTGACCTTGTTGTCTCCAGTCCCAACAGTTGTGTTATAGAAGCGGCTTTCATTGGTAGAGTTGAATGAGAGGAAAGAGAGAAGTATATTAACATTAGTCTGATATATGCTACTTGGAGCAGCAGTCTGCTTGTCTGGGCAAAGGGAAAACACGTAGGATGGTTCAGCGACTGCAATACAATTAAACGAGCAAATAAGCAGAGTGATCAGCAAAGGAAGCAAAGAGGACCAAGAGATTACAAAGCATGCCATGTCTAAGTAAGATGTAAAGGGAAGCAATATTATAGTTAAATAACCTTTATAAGCCAGAGAAAGTAATTCAATTTAACAGCATGAAATCAGACTGCATAATTCAACACGTATTCCAGTTTTCAATGCGGGGTAGATGCACTATTACAACAGATAAAAACTAGCCTACGCAGTTGCAGCAAGAAGATGATTCAACATTAGCAGTTAGCAAGTGATAGCAGAGAAAAGTTACCATACAACATTAGGTGACGGGTAGCCTATACGGACCAAAGAGACAAATATTATGTTGAAAAGTCTAGCTAGTTGACAATTCAAAAGATCAGGTAAAAGTCATATTATAATAGTTTATTTGCTTTCTCATTATGATTTCCTAATCTCAGATTATTATAAAAGTCCCTTTTTTTTTCAAGTCATTCCTCACATTAGCTTCTTTTCTATTTTGTTTTTACAAAATTAAGAGCGTTAATCATAAGCCATACATTCTTAGGAGTTGGAATCATAACCTAACTTTCTGTATATTAATTAGACTAGGTTATGCTATTGTACCTTTTAAGGAAAAAATACAGTATTGCAGTACAAAGACAGACAGACTGACAGAGTGAGGGATAGTGTCTTCCATACCAGTAAGCTTTATATTATACAAAGCACTTCCCCACTTTAATTAAATTTATGTCACAACAGACAGATGAAAAGGCAATTAAGATGCAGGAAGTATTTAACAAGCATGGTATACAATGCAAGAAAACAAAATGTAAACATAGTAAGTAGCAGGCCTTCACAACCTGCTCATGGCTACTTAAGCTATAGACACATGAGTCAACGTAACAAAAGAAGTATTTCACGTCTTCATCTCCACTTCCTTGCCGTATTTGTTGATGTGGTTACCAAATTTTTGTTTTGAAACATTTGGTAAGGTTGAGTAGGATCCTCAGATTAGTAGGTTTGGCTTCAGGCAACTAACAAGATGAACAAAGTTAAATATCTAACTTTGGAAGCAACTTTAACTTCACAGTTGAATTGGCATTCCAAAAGGGATATAGCTACTCTTTTAGATTTTCAAGAAGCATAGCTATTCTCATCATCGCCATATCTTCGATTTCAAATTTAGTAGTCCTATCATTAGTGACCCACTTCATATAATTTGAAGCTATGTCTAAGTATAAGCAAGGGATCTTACATCTGCACTATTCAATAAAATTCTGGGATTAGTGGTTTCATAGCAATGAGGGTTTTAATCCTGTAACAAGATCAGTCTCTTGTTATAGATACTAGATCTTCAGTTGTAAGACTGTCATATACCAAATACCTCTGTAAAGGGATTAGTTTATTTAACAGCTAAACCTCGGAATAACTCCATCCCCTTCAAGGAAACATCATTTTAAGACTTCAAGCTATTCAACAACCAATCCCTTGTCCAGCCATATGTAGAGAAAGGAAGGAAGAGAGGTTGAGAGGAAACATAGAAATATAGAAGTGCATTTATATTGGTGAATCATCAACATTTGTATCAGACGTGAATATGCGTCCAATAAATCATACAAGTATATGATAGTTACGATTCATGGGTGCTTCAGCTATGTTGAGAAGCACTTACTAAACATTCACTATTTTTACTTCGCCCATTGATCTATGAGTATTACCACCTCCTCATGACAGGTTGGTTCATGAAACAGGAAAGACCAATTTGAAATTTGCAAAGCTAAGGGTTCTCTTCATATACGAATTCATAATTATTCCAAGTATCATAGACATATGGTACTATGCACCTAAAAATAAACATGCTCTTGGCACCAGTAAACAGTTTAGCATTAATAGCAAATTAAACAATTTGGCTATAATAGAAAATAAAGCATCAAAAATATACTTCATTTTATATATCAAAATAAGGTCAATTTCATTAATAAATAATGAAAACATAATATATATGCTATAAGGAATTAAAGATAGTCATACCTGATTCACTACTTTAATTCAGCATCTTTAAACAGAGCTAAATAACAAACAACTTTGATCTAATTACCCGAAACATAACACAGGGCAGGGAATCTATACTAAGTATCAAACTTAGGCATTTTAAGGTTGTGATAACAAGAATATCTACTATCCTTTCCAAATTTCACCAATATCTCAGCTTCCCTGATGTTGGACTGCCTCACTAACCCATCAATAACCTTCTGAATCAAGCCTCCCTCATTCAACCGACAACGACGATAAAACAATAATCTACACAACCGAGAACCAAAACGGAAATCTTTGTTATCACAAGCATATCTTAGCAATGTAGAAAATGTCAGGCGGTCCGGTGGACACTTGTTTTTCATCATTTCATCAAACCATTTTACGGCCTCCTCTAAATACTTCCCATCCCTGCAGAAGCCACTGAACAAAATATTATAAGTGTAAACATCAAGCTTCAAACCCTTAGACAATATTTCCTGAACAAAGTCCACTGCATCCTGCATCTTTTCTTCTAACACCAATCCTCGTAACTTCTTATTATAACTTATGATATCAGGAACTACATTATACTTTTCCATCATACCCACAATTTATCACCATCCAAGAACCTTAATTTCCTGTAGAATGCATCAAGCAAGATATTAAAAGTGATCAAATTTGGCCTTAATCCCTCTTTTTCCATTTCATCGAGCAACGAAAGAGCGGAATCTAAAGAACCCATCTCACAAAAAGCCTTGATCACAGTATTATAAGACACAACATCAGGCTTAATTGACAACTTCCCAGGTAATTCACGGAAAAACCCATCAACCTTATCAAAATTCTTCGAATTAACACAAGTCCCCAAGAGGGCATTGTAGGATAACACAGTTCTTTTACAATTTAGTTCAGGCATTTCGTCGAACAGTTTATGGGCATGATCAAACATGCCTGCTTTCCCATATAAACAAATAAAACGAACAGTAAACCCTTCATCAGTAATATCTTTGTACTGCTTCTGATCTTCAAGTATCTCTTCAATCAAACTGAAGCTCTTGGTATTGGCTAATCGTTGAACAGTGTGTTCATAAAAGTTGGTTTTTTACGAAAATTGGAATTCTGGGTATGTTTTTTGAAGGTTTCTGCAACCTTTTTGAGATCAGCTTCTTTGTAAACGACCTTAGAATACTTGGTTACAGAAGATATGGCCGAAGATGAAGAAAATGCTCGGCGAAGGAGGAGAGAGATTGAAGACATTGGGAATGGCGGGATGAATTAAGTGATAGCAAAGCAAAGCAGGAATTCGTTACCGTATAGTAGACTTGGTAATCCCGACCCAGACCCGGTGACTCGACCCACGACTCAAAATTGACCCAAAAATATCGATCTAAAATTGACTCAAAATCTGAAATTGACCTGACCCGGCATATCCAAGTACCCAACCCAAAAATAGAGTTGACCCGATCTTGACCCGACACCTGAACTCACCCGACCCGTAGTGTTTGACCCGAACAAACCCAATACCTGAATAAACCAAATACCCAAAAATATCCCGAACTAAAATTACCTTATAATTGAACTAAATATGTCTAGTGCCCAAAATAACTCAAATTGTTTATATTCAACCGTAGTCAAGCTCATAAACCGAATTGATAGTTCTTATCATAACAATAACAAAATTTAAAATTATTGATTTGAACTTGATCCACAAATGGAATAACCCGAACATGACCCGACCTGATTTTGACCCGACCCAAATATGACCCAAACATACTTGACCCGAAAATGGTCTGACCCGAACATACCCGACCCGAAATTGATCCGACTTGAACTTGACTAGATAGCTGACCGGACTCATACCCGAAATCCAAAATGACCCGACCCGAATGTTAATAGACCCAAAATGACCTGACCCGAAATTAACCCGACCCGTACCAGACCCATTTGCCAAGTCTACCTAAGGAAATATACTACACGTATACACTAGTCTAATTTAGGCACCATATAACCTTACCCGGGCAAAACTGACCAGATTATTCGTTTCTAAAATTGTCTGATCCAAATTGAACCTAAGGAAATATACTACACGTAATCACTTGATCCAATTTTAACCTCAATTGAAGTTGACTTAACCTAAACTATTCATACCAATTACTTGGTATTTCAATTTTCACCTACCATTAGAGATGACATTCGGATTTTTCGAATCAATTTCATATCGATTCAATTTAAGTTGAGTCATTTTCGGATAAGACTCATTCAAGTTGGAGCTGGGCCAATTTTGATTCTATTGTTAATTAGTCTACATTGTATCACGTGATTTTGGGTATGGTTTGGACTTCAAGTCGGATATTTTTGGTCGGGTAATTAAGTACGGGTTAATTTGTACAATTTATATTGAGCATTCTAGCTCGAATATGATTAAAAGAAGAAAAAAAATAGTTATCGAAAAATGGGCTTGAGGTCCAAGTCCATTTGGACTAGTTATTTGGGTTGGGGTGTAGGGTTTAGAATCATTGTTGGAATGGGTGAGTACACCAAAAGCCTTGCCTGATAAGTACATGACTCATATTAGATATGAATATATGATCATATGACATGACAAATATTTATTTAGGGTAATAATATAAGTAACCTTTTATTTATTTATTTTGAAACTAATAATATATGTAGAGCCTTAGATATAAACATTTAACATATTTTTAAAATTAACAATGCTAGACACCTAGACAACTTCCACGATTGAAATCCATGTATTGATCAGAAACAACATATTAATCGATGCAATTAATGTTTATTTGAACTTTATTTCACATTTTTATTAGCTCCTTCGCCAATAATTGTCCTAACAAAAAATTGATTGATAATTAGAACTCACTCGAACACTCAATTAAATAGCAAGTTAATAGCTATTAGAATACAAATTAATTAAAATTGGAAATTGTTTGAAATTGTATGTTTCATGACAAAATTGGTATACAAAGTTGATCATTTTTCTTCTATCCGCTTGTGTTGGCTCTGCTCTTTACTGTACTACGTACGTAACTACTAATTTTGCTACTGGCTGCAGGTGTACTAAATACATGACATCCAATTTGTACAGTGTACTCGTTATTGATTCACTGAATATTTCTATGTATGTATGTTTTGTACTAGTGATTGACTGATTGTAGTACTTAAATTATGTATAAAGTGTATACAATATCGTTATTTTCAAAGTTTTTTCTTTGACTGTAATTTTGTATATATGTGACGGTTATGATCGATATGGTTAGTGGCATGTGCATTGTGCAAACTAAGAAACTGAAAATCCCTAACAAATATCGATTTGTTCATGAACCAAAAACATCACTAAGTGTACTCTCTATTACTTGTATAATGGAAATCGTTTCTTGAATTACATACCCGAGTAGAAGATAATATTGATAGCTTGTAATTTTGTATGATTATAGAGTGATTTTGAGCCTTAGAATTGTGAGAAATCAATGTCTTAGTTCACTAATTACTCTATTTATATGCATTTTTGGTGTATCATATGCTTTACGGGGTTGCTAGTGTTTTGGTGCATATTTAGGTATAAAGATGGCATTTTGAAGCTTTTGGACAAAGAAGAAAAGAAGTTGGAGACAAGAAGAGGAAATAAGGGAGCTATGGAAGAATGAAAGAAGAAAGGAAAAGTGTCCAAGAGTGAAATAAGAGCATTTGGAAGGGATTTGGAAGGATTTTTGCACTAAGGTCAACTTCAAATGACCATAACTTTTTTTCTACTCAATTTTTTGAAGTTATTCAAATTGGAGATTAAAGTTCATCTCAAGAGTTTTCCAACGACTAGTCACATGCCTTATTCCGATGAGTAATGAAGAAGTTATGATCTTCCGAAACGAAGTTGTTTCGCCAGAAAAAGCTGCACGTCCGTGCCAAAAAGTTGCACGTCGTGCAAAGACTTGCACGTCTCATTTTAACAGGTCTGCATGTCCGTGCAACCTTCGACACGTCCGTGTCGACCTGTAGACGGGCCGATTCTTGTTTTCTCCGTCCTTTTACTTGGGGGTTATATAATATCCCTTTAGCTTCATTTGTAGGGGAGATCTTCTTCTCCCTTAGTCTTCTTACACTCTTTCTCTTAATTAACAATGTAGATCTTTAATTAATTAGTTATTTTACCTTAGAATCTCTCAAACTCAAGCATTGTAGAAGATAATTTCAAGCTTTATTCTCTCAACTTCAACATTTCTCCTTAACTTTGAAGCTTCAAGTAGTAATCTCTTACTCTCTTCTCTTCTTAATTTTCTGTTTTTTTTTTATATGGTTATGTAAATCTTAATTTTCTCTTAATCCTTGTTAATTATTCTTGCATGCTCAATGTTAGAATGTTACTCTTATCCATGATTTGTGAGTAGTTACTTAGCTAGGGGTTGGGTGAAAACCCAACTAAGCCATGGGTTGATTAATTTTGAGATGTTTTCGTGTTTTATTTGGTTTGAAGATTGTTTGCTCATGAACGGATTGTTTGCATGTGTATTTTGGTGGCCAACTTTATACTCATGTACTTCACTTCCTATACTTGCATTGAGAAATGGAGTTGGATTGTGAGTCTTCTCTTGTGTGATTAGATTATACTCCTTTCATGAATGTGGTTGCCTTGTTTCAATGATTAGATGCTTTAGTGTAGTAATTTCGGTGAGAAATCCCAATTATTTGTGCTTCATGCTATCTCGGAGCGATCGAAAGACAAACTCAAGTTAGAAACCCACTTCCTATCATTGAGACATTGTTTCTTATCATGTTAGTTGTTTGGTCTAGGAAATTCTTAGTGTTGTGGCTTTGAAAGAAGGCAACATTGAGTTCCCATTCTATCACCCATGTATGTTCATGATTTATCCTTGTTATCGATTATTTGGTTTGGTTGGTGTTGAACCCCATTTATCCCTAGCACTACTTTTCCTTGTAATTTCTTTAGTCTAAACTAGTGAGTCCATAAACTTCCAATCCTTGATTCGGTCTAGCTTATTATAATTAACACTTGTCGGTGATTCCTCGTAGTCCCTGTGGAAGAATGACCCTCACTTATCATTATGCTTAGGTTAGTGGTTAGTTAGGTAGTTTGACTCTAGGGTGTTTGCCCAACGACCAAATATCCCATCCGTCAAATATAATATTAGAGAAGGTATTGGATTGAACGTACGCACGCAAATTTGGTGTGGGAGGCTTGGCTAATATGTTTCATGTGTTGGCTGATATGATTTTTATGTTAGCTAATATATTCCTTTTATTGGCTAATATGTTTTTTTTTCCCTTTTGTTGGCTGATATTAGACATCTTTGACTTATATGTTTCTTTAGTTGGCTGATATATTTATTTTGTTTGCTGATATCTATATTTTAATTGTTGGCTTATATGTTTCATTTTGTTGGCTTATATGTTTATTTTGTTGGCTTACATGTTGCTTTTGTTTGCTGATTTCGTCCTTTTGTTGGCTAATATGCTTCCTTAATTGGCTGATATGTTCCGTCTCTTGGCTGATAAGTACCTTTTGTTGGCTAATATACTCCACTTGTTGGCGGATATGTATCTTTTATTGGCTGATATATTCCTTTTGTTGGCTAATACATATTTATTAATGTCTGATATGACCTTAATGTTGACTGATATCATACATCAATTGGCTGATATGTTACTTTTATTGGTTGATATGTGTCATTTATTGTCTTATATGATTAACAATATACAAAGTTTTTTTTATTTCATTCTCTCTCCTCTTTCCCCCTCTTCCTCTCTTTCTTCCTCTCTCTTTCATATGAGAATAAGAACAAATTAGCAGCTCACAAATCTCACGCCACCACTACAAATCCTCACACCACCACCACAAACCCTCAAGCCACCACACAAATCGCAGTGCCAACACCACAAACCGAACCCACCCACCACCGAACCCACTCACCCACCATCGAACCCATCCACCACCTAAACCCTCTCACCACCGAACCCACTCACCCACCACTGAACCCACCCACTCACTACTCACCCTGAAACACAACAAAAGAGCACCTAAAACCGTCTGAATTAGCCCTTGAAAATTTGCCGAAAACCTGCACATCCACTGCCTGAAAAAGGCCCAGCTAGAAATTCGCCGGAAAGGCCGCTTGCAACCTCCACCAAATCGCACCTCCAAATCGAACCTCCCCCAAATCGCACCTCCCAATCTAACCTCCACCAAATCGCACCTCCACCAAAGCTTCGAGAACCGACCTCCATTTAGCAGAGATGTTGTCGTCGAGGAGAGAGAAAATTCATGGTCGTCGGTTTGGAGTGAAGTTGGGAAGAAGGTGAGTGAGGAGAGAGAAAGTGAGGAATGGAAGGTAAAGAAGAGAGTAACACTGTTGCCGTACGAAGTATTGGGTGCGGACTTCCGCACCCAATAGTTTGTGTATAATGTAAGGAACAAATGTTGAACCTGCAATAATTATAACCATATCATTATAGGGTACCATCATAGATATAAATCGGAATTAGAATTATTGATTGTTTAAAGCACCACAAAGTAAGGTACATGGTCATATACTAATACCAGCAAGACGTCACACTTATTATCTAAAATATCATCGTAGTTAAAATTTCCATCTATAATTGGATTTTTTCACACTTACAAAGTTTTGCCAAACATTATTTTATTTAGGAAATTTTATAAAATAACACCACAAAAAAGTCACGATTTTGATAATAACACAAAAAAAAAAAAAAAAAAACCTTTTATTATAACACCACCAAAAAGCCCAAAAATTTAGTTTCACCACCACTTAACTTTGCCATCCAAAAAAACCGTTAAGTGGGTTACACAGTGTACACGTGTCAATCATCCATTGGATTAAAAAAATTAAAAAAAAGAGAATTTTTTTTTAAAAAAATAAAAAAAAGAAAAACCCGAAATGCTAACCCAGCCACCACCTCCACCACCGGCGCCGATCCCACCATCGTCACCCATACTCAGCCCCTAAACCGCCAAAATCGTTGACGAAGCTCCGAAATCGTCGCCGAACCATCGTGACCCCAACCTAAACTAGCCGAAACCCCAGCCCACACCTTCGTCGAACACCGTAACCCCAACCTAAACTAGCCGAAACCCCAGCCCACACCGTTGCCGAACCACGGTAACCCCAACCTAAGCTAAACCAGCCGAAACAACAACATCACACCCACCACTTTCGCCGAACTCCTCTCCCCTACTCAAAACCGTCGCCAAACCGCCGAAACCCCAACCCACACCCATACCCAAACCCAAACCCGTACCCAGAAACCAAATCGATTTCTTGGCGCTGAATTCTGCGGTGGATTTCGTTTTTCGCGACGGTTGATAGGACTGGGATGGTTGTCGCCAGTTATGATGGTGGTTGGCTTGATTTCCCTGGTTTTGGTGGGACAGAGGGTGCCGGCAGCTGAGGATTGACGTCCGGCGGCTAGGATTGGGCTGCCGGTGGAAGGCTAGTGGCTGGGTTAGGGTTGTTTTCTTTTTTCTTATTTAATTTTTTTAAAAACCAATACCAAATTGACACGTGTCCATAGTGGTCCCACTAACGGATTCCATCCAAAAATCCGTTAGTGGGTGGTAGAATCAAATTTTTGGGTTTTTTTGGTAGTGTTATAATAAAAGTTTTTAAAATTTATGGTGTTATAATCAAAATTCTGTGATTTATGTGGTGTTATTTTCTAAAAAATCCTTTTATTTATGCTTCTTTCCTTAGCTTCCCGGCCACTCTTAAAGACTTAATGCACACTCAGACCGCATATATAAATCAGACATTTTGAATGACCATACAAGTCTCTATTAATTAGCTTCATAATACCATGTTAGAGTTTGATTTAAATTCCATCTATGTAAGTGTAATAGTGCACAATTAATCATCATTGTTATGTTATCACACGTTACATAGTTTAATGCACCTTATAACATAAGTAACTGCAGAAAGCCCCAAAGATATTAAGCTGTACTATTTACATGTCAAAAGCTGTTAATTCTTTACTCAGGTGCTTTGATTCTGTTAGAACAGTACATATGATGAAGATTTTATCTCTCTATCTTCTCTAACTCATCATGCTAAATTGCACCTTTTACCATCCAACAAGTACTTAACAACCTCTAACAAGAAAGATTCCCTCTAAAACCTACCATTTTTTGGAGGGAGCCCAAATTAATTAACTACCTATGTATATATATATACACATAACTATTATTGTAACTTAGGTGATTTATTAACCCCCCTCAAAAATTAAAGCCATCCAACTCCTTTCAATTCATTTCTCACATATCCCATCTATCAAATTTGACATGGAATTTTCATATGCTTCTTCTGATGTTGATAATGACAACGATAACAACAATGATGATTCTAAATTCAAATCCAAAAACTTAGACGCTGAAAGGAGACGACGTGCCAAGCTTAATGATCGCCTTCTTCAACTACGAGCATTAGTCCCTATTATCACTAATGCAAGCATCTACTACTTATGACTCTCACAAATTATGCCTTTTTTTTTTTCTAATGTTATTCCTATTTAAGTTTTAATAATTATTAACTCGTCTTTTCTTAACAACTAAGATTTAATTTTATTTTTTTTTTTCATTTTTTGGTTTATTTAATTAGATGACCAAAGCATATATCATTAAGGACGCAATTACTTACATTGAAGAGCTTGATAGCCAAGTAAGCGAGCTCAAGGATGAGCTTCTTGAACTCGAAACTTGTTATCCTCCTAGAGAGGAAATTAAATCAGCTATCAAAGACGAAAAAAAAGTTTCAGCAAAAGACATGAAGAATTACGGAATTGAGGTTGCATACTTAATTTGTTACACATGAAGTTACGTACAAACGTACATAATTATTTAAGTACTTTCTAATTACCTTTTTATTATTTATTTTTTTGTGACAGCCTGAAGTGAAGGTGAATCCCATTGACGATAACAAAGTATGGATAAAAGTTGTGTACGAGAAGAAAATGGGAGTATTTACGAAATTAGTCGATGCCATAACTCGGTTAGGGTTAGAGTTTAATGACACAAATTTCACCTCTTCCAATGGAGCCGCGGTTATTAGTTCTTGCTTAGAGGTTAGAAACATTAAATCAGTTCAATTTAATTTAAATCAAGTCATTTTTAAGCATATTTCATTGTCATTGTAGCTTATTTAATTTTGTTACGCTACATTTCTAGGGTATGAACAACGTTGAAGAGACCGAAGAACTGATAATGACAGTAATTAGCAGCATATGAAGAAATAAAACCATGGATTAAAAGATGAAGCAAATGATAATATAGTTTAATACTTAATAATGGAAGGAGTAGATAATCAAAGAGCTATATACAAGCATATTTTTTTTCATACATAATGTGGTCAAAAAGGCTTATATTTGTGAGGGTGGAAAAAGGAAATAGTAAAAGCATGCATTATATATATTTTGTGGTTTAAAGATTTTATTTTATTCTGAAAAGTAGATCTATTATTTACATCATAGTAGATGTACTTACTATAGTACTTTTGATAATTCCTTGAATAATTGCAACAATAAATTGTGGTGTACCCTTACTTAATTGAATATCAGTACGTATAATTTTACACTACTCGTATTACTTTATAGCTTATATAAGTATATATGATTATTGTTAAGAATCCTACCAACATGTAATGTGACTTCCATAATATTTATAGCTAGAACTATTAATCAATTTGTAGCTTATTAGGTACACATGAGGTGCATTATTATATGCTTTCGAGTTTCGAATAATGTTCTTTAAATCATTATATAGACACATGCATCATGTTCATTTTTTCATTCATTCATGTTCATTTATCATAAATTGTAATTTTACATATTGTATGATCTTTAATGAATGAATATGAGATGTTTCGTTATTGGATTGTATGAGCTTTTATGAGCATCATGTTTCACGTTGCTGTATTGCACACCTATGCAATACTTCGTATGTTTTACCATGCAAACCAAATGATTGATGTATATATACCTATTACTTTGTACACCCTTTGTCCCAACTATGAATAATTTTTAAGGTCTTTAAGGAGAGTAGAACATTACAAAATTAATGACTTTTAATTACACATATTTGGTCGCATGAACAAAAAAGTTGTTCCTTGTACATAAATTGTTCCCCTTGCATTAAAACTTCATAATTGGCATAGTTTTAATCGGGAGAAAACTAATAAGGTCAAATTTGTCAATGAAAAAACATTAGAGTATTTTATTAAGTAAAGATAAATTTATAAAAAAGAAAAAAAAATTAAGAAAATCGATTTGGGATGTCTTAGCTTATAAGATAAATATATGAAGAAAAAAATATGGGACGACAATATAAAGTAAAATTATTAGTCATGATGCCTTGAATATGAGATGATCAACTAAAGAAACACTCTATATATTGTCTAACTCGTACTTATTATGGACGGAATACGTGTTTCTGTGTTAGCAACAACTCTCGAACCCTTTCTGTATTGCTTCGGTAAACGGTGTCCTGACAGCACAATTTTGTCAGCAAACGTCTTTCCATTCTTGGGCATGACATGCCAGTGCAATGTCAAGTTGAACTCCTTGCCTCGCAAATTGCTCCCCTGATCAATAAATCGGTACTTGTTTGAGATACTAACTGAAAATTTTGCCTTTTCTTTTGATTCTATGATCGTATCCCAGAGTGAAAGCTGATTCAGTACATGTTTTTTGGTTTCATATTCAGCAGCAACAAGCGCAAACACCTGCTTTGTATTCCAAGTAAACAATGACTGAAGATCGGCTGAAATATTCAGCACCATGGCAACCTCGTCATTGCCACTCGAGTGTTTCTGAAATCTATGAATGTTGGCCACCTCAATGCTGGCAGTAGGAGAAGGGGAATTGAAATTGTCGGAAATTGTAGCGGCAGCGCACATAATTGCAAGAATGGTGACTGCTAGAGTTAGCAGCGCTTTAGCTCTGTTTGCAAAAGAATGCATGTTCTCAGTAATTCAGTATAATTTTTTTTGTAAGAGAGAATTGAATTATTCATCAATAGGTAGAGTATTTATACAATATCTATCCTCATAAAATAGAAAACAAAAAAAAATTAAAAAATAGGAAACAATCTTTCTAAAAGATATATTATAATAACTATATATCCTAGAGATATATTCACTAAATAATATCTTTAACATAAATAAACCTAAATATATTATTTTTACGATAATATCAATATGAAAAATGTATCACACATATGTTTTCCAATATGATTTGATCTCATATCTCTTGTTGATAAGTATATTAGGTGACTCGTACTTCGTAGCTTTGTCCGCCCGATCGGGCGGACATTGCCCGGTCTGACCGGGCGGAAGAAGAAGAGGTGCCTGGCAAATTCGTTGAAGAAGCTGCTCTCGCGCCCGACCGGGCGAGCCTTCGCCCGACCGGGCGAGCCTTCGCCCGATCGGGCAGACCTTGCCCGGTCTGACCGGGCGGTGGGGGTTGGATACGTTGAAGCATTCGTATGGAGTTTTCTTCTCGCGCCCGATCGGGCAGACCTTGCCCGGTCTGACCGGGCGGAGAAGGAAAAATACGGAACGCGGATTTTGCGGTTTTAGGTTATCTTATTTTATTATCTTTTTGCCCAAGTATCTTTTAATTAGGGATTAATATAAAACCTCCCTAATATCAGTATTAGGGTTAAGAGAGACAGAGTGAGAGCCGTTCTTGAGAAATACAAGAATCATCTTTGTAATCTTTGCAGTTTATAGTGAAATCATTCGATCTCGGTGCCCGTGGACGTAGCTATCACATCGATAGTGAACCACGTAAATTCTTGGTGTTGTTCTTATTGTTTGCATTGAATTTCTTTATTGTTTTCTTGTTTGTTTACGACCTTTGCTTCCGCTGTCGCACAACAATTGGTATCAAGAGCTCAGGTTCAATCCTTGGAGAGTTTCTTGAAGATAACAATGGCAGGAGATTCAACAATAAGAATTGAGAAGTTTACCGGGAAAAATAGTTTCGGGCTATGGCAAATTAAGATGAAGGCTCTGTTAAAACAACAGCAGATATGGCGTCCGTTGGCTCCAAAGAGTACTACTTCGGAGTCAGGAGACGGACCGACTGACTCGCAGTTAGAAGTTATGGAAGAGAAGGCACACTCTACCATATTACTTAGTCTTGATGATCAAATCATCACGGAGGTTGCTGATCAGGAAACGGCGGCTGGATTGTGGCTGAAGCTGGAGTCATTGTATATGACTAAGTCGTTGACCAACAAATTATTACTGAAACAGCGGTTGTTTAGCCTCCGGATGCAGTCAGGTACTTCCTTACGGGAACATCTAGAAAAACTTAACTCTATTTTGCTTGATTTACGTAATTTAGATGTTAAAATTGATGATGAGGATGCTGCGTTGATTTTACTTGTATCTCTACCGTCTAGCTTTGAGAATTTTGTAGAGTCTTTTGTTGTTGGTAAGGATTCTATAACCTTAGAAGAAGTGAAGGCAGCACTTCATACTAGGGAACTCAGAATGAAAGCTACGAGTGATAATGGGGATAATGGTAGTGGGTTATTTGTTAAGTCCGGAAAGTCTAAAAAGAATAAGGGGTTTAACAAGGGGAACAATGCTGGGTCGGGTGCTGGAAACGGCAAGGATGGATCTAGTAAAACTACTACTAAAACATGTTATTACTGTAAAGAACCGGGTCACTTTAGGAATAATTGTCCGGTGAGGAAAAACAAGTCCCAGGCTGCTGTAGTTGAAGAGAAACCGAATGAGAGCTATAATTCAGAGGAAGATTTAGCATTAGTCAGTTCTGCTAGGTCTGATGATTTATCTGATAACTGGGTTCTAGATTCGGGGTGTTCGTTCCATATGTGTCCACGTCGAGATTGGTTTGATACATATGAACCTCGCAATGGGGGTATGGTTATAGTCGGTAACAATGCTCCATGTAAGGTCACAGGTATTGGTTCCATGAGGTTGAGGACTGTTGATGGGCGGAGGTTAACTTTGACTAATGTACGGCATGTTCCTGCTTTAGGAAAGAATCTGATTTCATTGGGTACCCTGGATGAATTGGGGTACAATGGTGTGTTTTCAGATGGGGAGTTGTGTATTTTCAGAGGTTCTGAGTTGGTACTTAAGGGTATCAAAAGGAACACCCTCTATGTTTTTGAGGGTGTTACACTGCCTAGTTCTGCGGTTTGCGCATCTGTATCTCACCAGGAGATGACTAAGATTTGGCACATGAGGCTTGGTCATATGGGGGAGAAGGGGATGCAGCTATTGTCCAAGAGGGGTCTTCTATCCGGGGTCAAGGTTGCCAACCTTGAATTTTGTGAGCATTGTGTGTTTGGTAAGAAACACAGGTCAAAGTTCAGCAAGGGTGCTCACATTACTGATGCAGTGCTCGATTACATCCATTCAGATTGCTGGGGTCCATCTAGAGTTGAAGGTATGGGAGGTTACCACTATTTTGTGTCATTTGTTGATGACAAGTCCCGATACACATGGCTTAGGTTGCTTAAGTCAAAGGATGAGGCCTTCAAAGTTTTCAAGCAATGGAAAGCTTTGGTGGAAAATCGACAAGGAAGGAAGATCAAGAAGCTACGAACGGACAATGGGCTAGAGTTTTGCAAAGACGAGTTTAATCAGTTCTGTGCAGATGAGGGTATAGGTCGGCATCATACTGTCAGGAAGACACCACAGCAGAACGGTGTAGCAGAACGGGTTAATCAGACACTGCTAGAGAGAGTCCGATGCATGCTCTCCAATGCAGGGCTTGGGAGGAGGTACTGGAGTGAAGCTGTGTTAACAGCTTGTTATGTCATTAATAGGGGTCCTCATTCTGGAATTGATTCCAAGATTCCGTTTGAGATCTGGAGTGGTAAGTTGCCTAATTTTTCGAATTTGAAGATTTTTGGTTGTGTTGCTTATTATCATGTTATTGAGGGTAAGCTGGATCCACGAGCCAAGAAGGGGTGTTTTGTTGGGTACGGGGATGGTGTGAAGGGGTTTAGAATTTTTTCACCTTCGGAGGGTCGGGTCATTCTTAGTAGGGATGTTACTTTCGATGAAAACACCATGTATTCAATTAAAAATGCAGAGATTTCAGATTTGAGAAGGGAAGGAGACAATTTATTACAGACAGATGGGGTACTTGAGGTACATCAGTCTACCATTGCTGATTTACCTCGGGTACAATATATTGATGATGATGCTGATGTTCCAGTGCCGGGTACTCCTGAACCTGAGATTACTCCTACTCATTCTAACTCTGGGGATGAGGTGGAGCAATCTAATCAGGGGTCATCTAGTCAACCTGACACCATTCTTGAGATGCCTAAACGAGTTATCAAGAAGCCTGTTAGATTGATTGAAGAGATGGAGGGAAGAAATTGCTGTGTTGATGCGATGACAGGTTATGCATTGAGTGTAGCTGATGATGTAGAGTCATTTGAACCTGCCACATATAAACAAGCAATTAGTTGTAGTGAGTCTGCGCAATGGCTTGCCGCAATGGGTGAAGAGATGCAGTCTCTTTACAAGAACAGAGTGTGGGAACTGGTAAAGGTACCGGAAGGGAGGAAGCTTGTGGGTTGTAAATGGATTTACAAGAAGAAAGAAGGGTTGTCGGAAACTGAGCAAATACGTTTTAAGGCTAGGCTAGTTGCTAAGGGGTTCAGTCAGGTAGAAGGGGTTGATTTTGTTGAGATATTCTCACCTGTGGTTCGACATACTTCTATCCGTGTGTTATTGTCAATTGTAGCACATTTTGATCTTGAGCTGGAGCAGTTGGATGTTAAAACGGCTTTCCTTCATGGCGATTTGGAGGAGGAGATTCTGATGAAGCAGCCCGAAGGATTCGAAGCTCCTGGAAAGGAACACTATGCCTGCAGATTGCTAAAGTCATTGTATGGACTTAAGCAATCCCCCCGACAGTGGTACAAAAGGTTTGATTCTTTTATGGTTTCACAAGGTTTTGACAGGAATTCATATGATTACTGTGTGTATCATAGTAAGCTGGATAATGGTTCCATGATTTATCTTTTGTTATATGTTGATGACATGTTGGTTGCCACAAAGAATAAATCTGATATTGCTAGATTAAAGGAGATGCTTAACTCGGAGTTTGACATGAAAGACTTGGGTGCAGCTAGGAAGATTTTGGGTATGGAGATCTACAGGGATCGGGCTAGAGGTAAGCTTTTCTTGACTCAGAAAAGCTACATTGAAAAGATTTTGTCTCGTTTTGGGATGGAAAAATCGAAGCCTATAAGTACGCCAACTACTGTTAGTTGTAAGTTGTCTTTGTCTATGTCACCTCAATCAGAGGAGGAGTTGTCTTATATGTCTAGAGTTCCATATGCAAATGCGGTTGGTTGTTTGATGTATGCTATGGTCTGTACTAGGCCGGATATTGCGCATGCCGTTAGTGTTGTAAGCAGGTTTATGGCTCGACCTGGGAGGGAACACTGGCAAGGGGTGAAAAGGATTTTTCGCTACCTGAGAGGGACAGCTGATATTGGTCTTGTGTACGGGAATGATAAGGAATGCTTGGTCACTGGGTACAGTGATTCTGATTATGCAGCTGATGTGGATACCAGGAGGTCTGTGACTGGTTATGTGTTCACTTTGGGTGGTTCTGTGGTTAGTTGGAAGTCTACATTGCAGTCATCAGTTACGTTGTCAACTACTGAAGCTGAGTATATGGCTTTAACTTCTGCAGCTAAGGAGTCTATTTGGCTCAAAGGCCTAGTAGGTGAACTGGGTATTGCACAGGATTTTGCTACAGTGTATTGTGATAGTCTAAGTGCGATTTGCTTAGCTAAAGATCAAGTACACCATGATCGGACGAAGCACATTGATGTCAGGTATCATTTCTTGCGTACTGACAAGAGGATTAAGGTGAAGAAGATTGGGACTGCTGACAACCCGGCTGATTTCTTCACTAAGCCTGTTCCGTTTAGCAAGTTTAAACATTGCTTAGACTTGCTAAATATTGATT